AGTGGAAGCATCCAACGATTTAGTATCATTTGATGTGATCATTTTCAGTAATGATCGAACATCGTCTATAGAAAAAGTCGAACGAGCCAATGATGATGAAATCAATTGAGAGATTGTTTTTCCATTCGAATTATAATAAGAATGACTAGGAATACTAGTCATATTATTGTTATTCGGTATAATTGGTAATGAAAGAGTGACATTTAAACATTTGATGTCCAAAGCCATTTAGAATAAAATGAGATATCCTTTCTCGTTGCAAAAAATACTTCCTATCGAAGTGCGTAAAAACAAGTTTAGATTTAATAGTACATTTATATCAGTTTTATTATTATGATACAGACAAATATACAGAGAAAAAAAAGAATTCTTATCTCTAAGTTATATTGGTTGTAAATCAACCTGTATGTGTCATAGGCAGACAAAAAAAATCAAACGAATGTTAATAATATCTTTTGAAATTGATGTCTTTAGGTTCATCTTGAGGATGGGTGTGATCTTCGTTTTTTTCCACACACACCCAAACCCTGGTATACCATATCAATTCTCTATTCATAATTTACCAAATTATTCTTTATCTAATGCATTTTTAATCGATTATAATTTATCACGAGCCGTTCAGCAAACATTTATTTTATTGACTCGATAAATATCTAACTAGAAAATATTTCTTTGCCATTTAGTTTTCCCGCAGTATTTTTAAACGTCTCATATTGAGAACAGATGTTAAAATCGATTTGTGAGGTATGATAGTATACTGATCATTTTTCATCATTATTGTTTAATATTTCATTTTATAGAATAGATTATGCAAAATTTTTACTTTAATTTCATGTCCTACTAAAAAACAAACCGTTCATCCTCAACCAAAGCAAAATGAAAGTAATTGGTCTATTATACGACATTATTTTTCTGATTTTCATCGACGATATTGTACAAAAACGGATATAAATACACAATCTTATGATTTGCTAGTCTCTCGGATAGTTGTTATATTCATTTGGCTTTATATTATTATCATAGAATTTCTTGCATTTAGCAATATAATGAAACCATCAATGATAGTTTTAAATTTTCTTTTTCTTTCTTCATATTCATTAAAAGATATTGCTTCAATTATTTATGCATCTGGTGCAACTATTTATGGTACTTCAATTGAAATTTATCTTATACTACCTTTTAGCATTATTAATTCCATTTTAGCAGTAGTCACTTGTGGTATGAATCATAGTGAAACAAAATCTACTATTATATATATTGTTAAAAGTATTGCACTCTTTATGGGTACTGAATTATCCTATCAAAATTTTAAACGTTTTACATTTCAACAATCCTATCAATTACATTATCAAACTGTTTCTCGAACTATGCTTCGTCAAACTATCTATTTAACAGTAACAATTATCTTTATTGTTTCGCCTGGTTTACGTTCTATTTATAGTGGAGTACAATTTAAATGTTCATATCTAAATAGAACAATAACAGAATCCTATTGTGATATTATTGATATTGAAAAACCAACATTTGAAGGTCATTTTTCTTGTGTAGCTGATTATACTGCAATGATTACTGGTATGGAACAATTACGTATTATTCGTGATATTACTTTATGTAGTATTGCTTTCTATTCAATATATAATAAAGGTTTTCTTGATATTACTGGAACAACGTCTATTATTCATAAGATAATGTTATTATTATTTTTTGGAATGAGTTGTTCAATTATAGTAGTGAATATTAATCCATTAAATTTTGTTAATATTAAATTATATTTTAATTTATTTGAAATAGTTATTTTTATTATTTTAATGGTATTACTTACATTAAATTTACAGCAAAAATATGACCATAAAAAATTTATAATTATGCAAGAAAATCCAACGATTTTTGGATAAATAAATGGATTGATTTTACAATTTTTTCTTCATGAATTTATTGATTATAACGAATAAAAATAGATATATATTTATAATTTTAAAAACTTTAGCTCAGGGTGTGGGTGTAGATGTTTTCTCTCTCTGAATCGACGCTCACACCCTAAAAGAGCTCTTAAAGAGATCGAATGCATAAAAAGCAGGTAGACAGACGTTCTTATTTATATATACAGATAGATAACTACAAAAGTTAAAAGAATTAGGCGAGTTATACATTTTGGAAGGGTAACAGTCATGTAAATAAAGTCATAATCACCACCGTAGCTGCTACTACCATCATCTTAATTATCACCACCACATGCATTTCCTCCATCGTGATAAATACAATGATCGTGACTGTGATGCTGATGATAATCTATAGAGTTTGAATCCATTGTATGAGCAGCAGAATAGTCGTTTGTGCTTGATGCATATTTATGATTGTAAGATACACCAGAGTTATAATTGTTCGCTAATACTGAACGTTGATAATTACGTTGAAATTGTTTTCGATGTTTTTCCAAATTGAAACTATGTCGGTGCAAATGTAAAACACGTTTAAACCAAGCAGGTATCATTTTCTTGTCTATTCGTTATACCAACTTATAATTATATGTTGTATTTATTGATATAACGATGATATTATATGCTTTATTGCCCACTCCTATGTAGAATATATATAAAAATAATGACAGAGTAAGAATAAATTTGCGCATTCTTCGTATATACAAAGTGTGTACAGGCAGAAATGACTCATAAGTTTATATTTATCTGTTACGACGTTAGTTTACTCATGAAACTCAAACATACTATAGTGTAATAATTTTTCTTCTACAAACAATTTTGTTTAGCTATAAAACTATAAATAAATACAACACGCAACGATATTGAGGATCAGCGGAATAAAATCAACGTCTGCATCCATTCCTCAATTCTCGTCAAAAATTAAAAAACTTTTTTCATGTTCGAAACATATGAGAAATATTGGTAATTTCGAAAAAAGTGTTTTTGACGGTGGGTGTAGGTACTGATCGTTTATCTACATCGTACCCACACCCACACTCACACCCTGCAAGAAAAATTCATATGAGTGTATAATAAGTGAAACTAAATATTGTAACAAATAAAAAAATAATCATATATGATAGACCGATAGACATACAATCACATATTCAATTTTATATCCGGTATTATGGTACTAATGAAAAAGAAATAGTCGAATGAGAACAATGAATAAGCAAAAACATTGAGTTATTTCTCGCTATGTATGAAACACACTCATAGTATGCGAATCTGATGCAGCAATTTTTGGTGAGTGGGTGTGGCTGTCTACTGATCATATCCACCCACAGCCACACTCTAAAGATTTGACATCGTCTAAATAAATAGCTGGGTGTGGGTGACAGATATAAGATTCATACCCACACCCTCAAAATGGCATGTCGTTCTCGAAAAACTATCAACTAACCAAAAGATTTTGTCAATTTTACCAGACACTTTTTTCATTCTTCTTCTTGTAGATTATTTTTGTGTTTGCTGCCTGTTTACTTTGTCACCTATGATATCAATTTGTTTGTGAGATACATAATATTGACTTAAATAAATTTTACTGTGAAAGCGTGACTAGTAGTGTACACGCAGAATGAATAGAATACTAGTTTACACCCTCACTCATCTCTCTTTACTTTCAATAATATATAATTCTATTTTCTTTTTCATTTATTTATTCACAAATAATTAGTAGTTTTTGTACAATGTTTTATTTCTTTGACATCGACATCTGATTTGTTCTTTGTCGAGATTATCATTTATGTTAGATATTTATAAACATAAAATATATCGACTTTATAAAATACAATAATTAATTTGATCAAACTATTGCATAAAAAAAGAGTTTTGTTGGAAAAAATTGATGTTTCAACATATTATTCATTTGAGAACAATTATTCATATGTTATCATCGCCTGTTGAACTCACTCTCATCAGAATATATGTGGTTAGTAATAAGGAATGATTAGTATTTTTTACATCTGTGTTTATATCCATTCAGTTGTTCAAATAAAGATTTGTCTTTTATCAATTATGGCTTTTTTTCAACAACCGCCATAAAATATGACATCAAGATATTGCTGCAATTCATATATTATTTGGCGAATAATTATTTATTAAGAAATAAGAATGATTAAATAATTTGATTACATATAAAAAAAAAGTATGATTGAGTTCACAAAAGAAAATGTCATTTTGTCTATATTGATTGATAAAGCTCAGCAATATTGAGATAAGCACCGTGCCATCCACCAGTAACTAATACTTTTCCATTTAATAATGTAGATGCTTTGTGACCATATCGTGTGATACTCATGTTTGTTGTAGTTGTCCAGGTAGCGGTTGATGGGTTGTAAAATTCAGCACTATTGGAATAAGTGAGACCGTTGTATCCACCAATAACTAATACTAATCCATTTGCTAATATGGATGCTGTGTGACGATATCGCGCGACACTCATGTTTCCTGTTGTTGCCCAAGTGTCTGTTGATGGATCGTACAACTCAGCACTATTGAAATAAGTAACACCGTTCCATCCACCAGTAACTAATACTAATCCATTTGTTAATGTGGTTGATGTGTGAAATCCTCGTGCGACATTCATGCTTCCTGTCGTTGTCCAAGTCCCTGTTGATGGATTGTACAACTCAGCACTATTGAAATAAGTACCGTTCTCTCCACCAGTAACTAATACTGACCCATTTAATAATGTGGATGCTGTGTAATCTCCTCGTGCTGTATTCATGCTTCCTGTGATTGTCCAGGTACCCGTTGATGGATTGTACAATTCAGCACTATTAAGATAAGCACCGTTGAATCCACCAGCAACTAATACTGATCCATTTGATAATATAGATGCTATATGAAATCCTCGAATGGCACTCATGTTTCCTGTGATTGTCCAAATACCTGTTGATGCGTTGTACAATTCAGCACTTTTGAAATAACTAGCGCCGTTCCATCCACCAGCAACTAATACTAAACCATTTGATAACGTGGATGCTGTGTGAGATTCTCGTGTGCCACTCATATTTCCTGTAGTTGTCCAAATACCTGTTGATGGATTGTACAATTCAGCACTATTGAGATAATTACCACCGTATCCGCCAGCAAGTAATACCGATCCGTTTGATAATGTGGATGCTGTGTGATAATCTCGTGCGGCAGTCATATTTCCTGTCATTGTCCATTCTAAATAAGGCAGAAAAATGAGAAAAAAATATTATTCTTGAAATAACTTTAAATTTCTCATATGCATAAATTGTCTATCATTTGATGACAGATTAAATGATTTCAAACCTTCAATAAACTTTTTCATGACTAAAATAAGATGTATTGTGAAATGTTACATCAAATTAATAAAAAATAGGTTATAAACGACTTCATTGATATTTTTCGAGCTCTATATATGTCACGAGCTGATAAAACTTAAATACTGTCCTACAATTCAGTTATGATGAATAATGATCGATTTTTGAAATTTGATTAAAAGTCACTCTACATTCTTCAACATAGTGAAAACAATATGTACTCTTGCTGTGTTGGATGTGTGGTGTAAGCATGTGCCAGAATATAGCTAAGAATGAATGTGACTGTGAATAAGTGAATATAATTCTCGTATCGTTCTTATAAGAAAATCAGTACACTAAAGGTTAATTGATGATGATGATCAAAGGCATTTTTCTCAAGTTTGAAATTTGCATTTTATATTACTACGATTTTTTTGAATTACTCAACTCTATACAAATGTGACCTAAAACATGAGATTGGATGTTGATAGACATGTTTCACGTCGATACTATGTCAGCTAATAATTCAACGTACAGAATTATTCTCCAATCATCTTGAGAGTGGATGGATGTGAGTGATTACTAAAATAATCAATAAGTTCTATTACATAAAAATCTTTTTATCAACAATATTTTCATCTAATACTATTGGACAAGACAAAAATATTCAATACTAAAATGAATGTAAATCGATTCAAATTATCAAAAATTGGCCCTATTTCGACTTTTGTTAAGAAATGTTACTTAATCTTGTCTATTTAGATGAAAATCATTCAATAGTTAAAATCAAAACTTTAAATATCGTCACTTATATTAATCATCGTTTGAGTTACTACAAATCGTTTAGCATAATACTTACGTGGTATTGGTGTTGTTGTTGTTGTGGTTGATGTTGTTGTTGTTGCTGTTGTGGTTGATGTTGTTATTGTGGTTGATGTTGTTGTTGATGTGGTTGATGTTGTTGTTGTTGTTGTTGTTGTTGTGGTTGATACTGTTGTAGTTGTGGTTGTTGTTGTAGTTGACGTTGTGGTTATTTCTGTAGTTGTAGCTGTTGTGATTGTTCCTGTAGCTGTAGTAGTTGTTGTTAGTAGTTCTATATGAAAAAAGAAGATTAAATGATATTTTCTTTACAATTCATAATTTCTCTATCTATTAACAGTATATTTGGCTTTAAATATTTTTATATGGATTTTCTTGTCTGTCTTCCATAATAATAATTATTTATAATTATATTTCGAGTACAACAACTGAAACAAATCAGTTGGCACTGCATAGATTCAGTGCTAAAATCTTTTCGGATCTTACACATTGGCTTAAGTGATATCATTCTATGAAAAATTTCGAAAAAATGATAGCCTTTACAAATAATAAAACATATGCAATCGCTACTATTAATTATTATTCAAAAATATAGTGAAATTGTTTATTTTCATAGTTAATACGATAACAAATATATATTCTTTCCTAAATTTTGTATCATACATTTAGTTTTCTACAAAATAGCTAAGCAAATGAGTCAACTCTCTGAAGATTACAGCGATTTCATTTGTCAAAATCTATATAAGATGTGAATAATAATATTTTATGTTGTGTCATTAACTCAAATAGTTATAATTAATAATTATTCTCATTCATTGAAACAAATAGTCTGCTTACCGATGATAACACCATTAGCATCTTTATTATCATAATTGTAGCTATTGAGATTGGGATAAGGTTGAACGTGGCAAAGTTCCACAGGTATATAGCTTCCATCATCCGTTATAATATTAACGTTGGTTACGTTATTGAACTTTTCATGGATGCTGAGAAAAAGCTTCATTTCATTGTACAGCGTTTTACATTGTAAATTGGGTGGACAGTTCAATACGATGTCAAAGACTATAGCAGTACCTGAACGATCCGTTTTATCGCATTGAATACTATATTTAAAGTTATAGGTAAATGTTGTTAACAGAAATTAATTAAAATCAAAATTACTCTCTGCGACGTCGACCTTTGGCACCGATTGCTCCTGAACTGCTGATACCGGTGAGATTGACGGAACCTATGGGAGAACCAGTTGCTTGTTGCAGCTGAAATATATTACAACTTATAAATTAACATGAAAGACAAAACTTACGCAAGCGGCGTTTGCTGTACGGTTTGTGACGGATTGCGTGGCACGCTTTATTATCAATCCAGATGGCAACATATAAGAAACAGTGAACGAACGAAGTGAATTTACTAGTAAAGACTACGTGTATGTATCTAATAAAAACAATCAGTAAATACTAACTAGTGGCGGCTGTATTGGTAGTGTTGAGATTAGGTGTCGACAAATATGTAGGAATGAGTGCAACACAAACTATGCATGCAATCGTCACAAAAAAACAGCACCAAGAGACACATCTAGAAGACCTATATAACTGGTAAAAGACAACAAAATTCACCAAATATATTCACAATTTACCTTTTAGAACGATCTTGCTTCACAAGACCCATATTCTTTAATTCGCCGAAAGCTTGTTGTCCTGAAATTGAGAAAAATCTGATATTATCCTATTTCGGACTTTGCAAATACAGATCTTACACTATATTAGGTTGATTGATGATGTTTAAAAAAAGCTAGTAAGAAAGAATGAACGCTCTAGAATCAATCAAATAACAGAATTTATGTAATTACTAGTTAAAAGCTATATAGCATCCCTACTAAATAGAACTAGCATAGTAGTACTTACCGTGAAGTTATATCCAAACAAAATCAAAATTGAAACAAAACAGTTGAATACACTTGTTGTGAATGTAAACGAAAACAAAAACCGCAATGAATATATAAAGAGCAGATACTGTCCAATTATTTCTGTCTAGACGCTTAGTTCATGCATAAAATGATTTTTTTTGTTTTTCATATTTATTATTCATCTTAGTAAAACAACAAATAAGCAATTAAATAGAAGGGAAATTATATATTTCCATTTAACATATATGTAATAGTTATTGCGTATAATGACCGTAAATAAGAAAAAAAACATGACTTATTGATCATGTTTTTCACGCTCACATCTAAAATACATGTACATTACTATAGATAAGAGCTGAGAGCGTGACGAATCGCAGGTAATTACTACTTTTAAGTAGGTTTCTACCGTTTAATTTGTATTTTTTTAAGTAGAAACTCATTTGTTTTTCTTATTTACGGTCATTATACGCAATAACTATTACATATATGTTAAATGGAGATATGTAATTTCCCTTCTATTTAATTGCTTATTGGTTGTTTTACTAAGATGAAGTATAAATATAAAAAACAAAAAAATCATTTTATGCATGAACTAAGCGTCTAGACATAAATAATTGGGCAGCGTTTGCTCGTTACATATTCGTTTCATTACTTATTTTCGTTTAGCTTCGTAACAAGTGTATTTGACTGTTTTGTTTTGACTTTGATTGTGTTTGGATATTACTTCACAGTAAGTGTTACTACGCCATTTTTATTAAGTTTATGTCATTCGAATAGTATATTCTGTTAATTTATAATCTTACATCCTTCGAAACATATCTCTTTTATATGTGAAAAAACATACAGCATATGATTACCCACAACGAAAACAAAGAAGTATGGTCTTGGAGCAAAAGATACAAGTTAATAGATGAATTGTTGAAGTAGATAACAGTAGTACTGAGATGATAAATTAGACATTATGAAAGCAATGAATAAATCAGATAATAGATCAGAAAAAGCTTGATATTTTTTGTTTTTATTTTTGTAATATATTAAACAGTTGCCATAAATAATAGAAACAGATCAATAGTTAACAAATTAAATAACAAGTATATTACTCGTGAAAATTAAATATAATTTGATACGAAATGTTATAAATTTCGTTTTTGGCTTGGTGAATAGTACAATCAAGTTGGTATACAAATTCCAAAATGTAGAGCATCATTGATTACATTGACTATATAACATAAAATAAATGGGTTTTAAATGATGATTGATAATAAACTTTGTTGGAAAATATAAAAATTACACCGAAAATTTAAGAAATACATTTTTTAATATTGTCTAAAAAACTAGAATTTCATCTTGACTAGCAAGATTCTTTATAATACAAATGATGAATCAGTTGCACTGCATGTAATTAAACAATTCCAAACGTTTATATTATAATATCAGCGATTGATAGATCATGAAATACTTGAGTATATACATATAATAATTAATAGTTTGAGTTGGTCTTCAAAGATAATAGGTCATTGACATGAATACTCGAGATTGATTTGTTATTTATATCTTCGACCCAGTAAACTGAATCAGCTTTTTTAACAAGAGTTTTTGGATTAATAAAAAATCTAGATCTAATTTGGACCGATTAGTAAAAATGCAAGTTACCCAAGCAGACAATGTTTTGCAAAAACGCGTGTAAACGATTACAAAACTGCTTTTTTATCGTTTAATCGCGCATTTTCTTTCACAAACGTTTTAATGCTCATAAAATGGGTCTTTTATGAGTTTTATCTTGGAAATATAAACAACAGATCGCACACCGTTAATAATCATCTTATAAACGCTCTGTAACGAAAATTTTGAATGTTTTCACACATTAAATTTATTCCGTAACTGATGATAAAAATTAAACCGTGTCAAC